CCTGCTGGATGCCTTGTCCCTGTATTTCTGTAGAATACCGTTTACAGTGTTCCAAACAGAACTCGTTCTCCGTTCCCCCTAGACTCAGCCCTCCTGCTTTCCCTGTCTCTGTGGCCATTACGTCATCCTTTCAGTCACTCACTTCCCTACCCTCTGAGTCACCCTGGACTCGTTCCTCTGCCCCCACCCCATAGCCTTTGGTGATTTTGTCGCCTCTTCTGGCCAGTCATGGGCTTGGTTCGGTCATTTCCATTTCCCCAACATTTTTCACATCCAATGCATTCTTTCCAGTCATGGCCACCACCCTAGGGATAGGGAGGCAGGGAGAGAATAAACATTTGTATAGTGCCTACTGGGGCTGTGAGGTGGTACAGTGAATAGAGTGCTGGGTCTGGAGTCAGGAAGACTCATCTTCATGAGTTCAAATCTGTCCTGAGACACTACTTGTGTGACCTCGGGCAAGTCAGTCAACCCTGCTTGCCTTAGTTTCCTCATCCGTACAGTGAACTGGAGAAGGAAATGGCAAATCACTCCGATATCTTTGCCAAGAAAACCCCAAACAAGGGTCATGAAGAGTCGGACACCACTGAAAAATGACTGAACGACAAAAAAGTACTTATTGCATGCCAGGCACCGTGCTAAGCACTTTACAAATATGGTCTCCTTTAATCCTTACTACAACCCTGGGAGAGAGGTGCTATTATTATCCCCATTTGACAGTTGAGAAAACTGAGGCAAACAGATTAAGTGACTTGCTCAGGGTAACACAGTAAGCGTCTGACGCTGAATTTGAACTCAAATCTTCCTGACTCCAGGCCCAGCTCTCTATCCACGGTGCCACCCGGCTGCCTTGTCTAGGCCTCTTTCTTGAACCATTACTATATTCCTATTTGGTTTCCTTTGTGTCCACTCTCCTTTCTCCAATCTGTCCTTCACATAATTGCCAGACTGATACTCCTAAAGTACGGGTCTGACCGTGTTAGTTCTCTGCCTAAGAAGCCCTTTAGCAGCTAACTCCAGACTATTTTTCTAGATTGATGTCATGTTATTCCCTTTTACCCATTTGAGCTAAACTCATCTGTTTTCTTTTTGCCTTGTATGGTGTATTCCTCTTTGATTTGGCATAGGCTCTCCTGTGAGCTTGAAATGTTTGCATTTCTCCTTTCCGCTTGTGACTCAGTATTTATTCTTCAAGGTTCAGCTCAGGAGCCATCTCCTACACTAGGCCTTTCCTGATTCTCCCCAGTTTTTAGTTTCTCCCCTCAACCCCAATGCCATTTTGATTTATTTTGTGTATGTTCAGTATTTCCTTTTCAGTGAATATGCTCGTTTCCCCTTAATAAGCTGTAAGCTTCTTGAGGGCAGGGACTGACTGTCTTGCTTCTGTCTTTGTCTCCTCATTGCCTGTCAGTACCGTATTTGACATAACAGTACACATTAAGTAAATGCTAGTCGATTGATTAGATAAACATCTGGCAAATGTGATGTACTTCTGGTTGTCAGAAATCAGGAAACCTAGAGAGACCAGAGAAGGTCCACTAAACTAATCCTGGATTGAGCCTGCCAAGTGATGATGGACCACACAGCTCAAGATACGTTAGCGTGAAATGACCAGAGTAGATGTCCTCAGTATTGTAGTATTTCAGATGAATGTGTGACTGTCTCTCTGCTCACGCATCAACATTGTAGTCCGTTCACAGCCTGTCACCCTTGACTTTCTAAAAACCTCTCCTGGAAGATCCTCCCATTGTAGTAGAGGTCTCCATCCAGGCCTTTTGGTATTTGGTAGATGTCATTGCCTGACTCACAAAGCTGTTGTGAGGGTCAGATGGTACAACACATGGAAAGCCCTTTGCAGACGATGAAGGTTGATTTGAATGTTAGCGACTCTTGTTTTCGTTGCTATTTCGGGATCGTCATCCATGTCACTCCCACGTGTGCAGGCTCTCCAAGACTCTTCCTCTCTCTCTTTTTCTTAGTAACTTTCTCTGTTTCTGTGGGTTTGATTATCCTCCATATCATCAGCACAGCGTAGTAGATAGAGAGCTGACTTGTAAAGCAGGAATACCATGCTTCACATTCTGTCTTTCATACATGTGTGACCTTGTGTGTGACCCTGGGCAAGTCACTTAACCTCAGTCAGTGCTCTGGGAAGCTGTCCCTGATCCAGTCCATCTTCCACTCAGCTGTCACACTGATTTCCCTGAAACACAGATCTGGCCATTCAGTAAATTCCAGTTTCTTTCTATTGCTTCTGGGATCAGGTATAAAGCCCTTAATAACCTGGCGCCTTCCTGCTTCCCAGTCTTCTCACACCTGACTCCCATCCATGTTGTCATCAATCCAGGGAGGTCGACCTCCTGGCTGTTCCCCCAACATGACTCTCTATCTCCTGACTCCAGATGCTTTCACTAGTTGACCTCCATGCTAGAACTCTACCCTAGGTCTGGGCTTCCTTCAGGTCTCAGCTAAAATTCCATGCTCTGCAAGAAGCCTTTTCCGGTCCTTCTTAATCTTAGTACCTTCTAGTTTATCCTGGCTGTGGCTTGTTTGGATCAGTTCTCTGCATTTTGCCTCTCCCATTAGATTGTGAGCCCCTTGAGAGCAGGTACTATTTTTTGCCTTTTTTCTATTCTTAGCAGTTAGCAAGGTGCCTGGCACAGGGTAGGTGCTTAACAAATGCTAGTTGACTGACCGTATAAGACATTTCAGAGGTGTTTTTCATATTGAGTGTAGATATCTTTGATTTCTTCATTGAGAAACTGCCTGTTCATGTTCTTTGACCATTTGTCAATTGGGGAGTGGCTTATATTTTTATAAATTTGACTCAGTTCTCTATAGGCTTGAGAAATGAGGCCTTTATCAGAGAAACTTACTATGAATTTTTTTCTCCCGGTTCCCTGCTCTTCCTTATGATCTTGGCTACGTTAGTTTTGTTTGTGTAAAAAGTGTTTAATTTAGTGTAATCAGAATTATCCATTTTACTTTCTGTGATCCTCTCTGTCTCTTGTTTAGTCTTAAATTCTTCTCTAGGTAAAATTTTCCTTGCTTACCTAATTTGCTTGCAATATCCTTTATGTCTAAATCACGTACCCATTTTGATCTTATCTTAGTGTATGGTGTCAGATGTTTGTCCATACCTAGTTTCTGCCAAACTGCTTTCCAGTTTTCCCATCAATTTTTGTCAAATGGTGACTTCTTGTCCCAAAAGCTTGGATCTTTGGGTTTATCAAACATTAGATTACTGTGGTTGTTTATTTCTGTGCATTGTGTACTAATACATTCCACTGATCCACCATTCTATTTCTTAACCAGTACCAGATTGTTTTGATGATTACTACTTTGTGGTATAGGCAGCTAGGAATTCTGAGAAGCACACTGAGGAGGAATCGGGGCCGAGTGCAAAGGTACTGAGGTAGAAAATGGAATAGCAACAAGACCTCCAGTTTTATTGGACTGTGGTGAATGTGATGATGCCGGGTCTTTAAAGCCCAACAAAGGATATTTGATCCTGGAAGCTGAGAGAGAGAGAGAGAGAGAGAGAGAGAGAGACATGGTCAGATGTATATTTTAAGGAAGATCCTTCTGGTGGCAGTGTTAAGGCTCATAACTTTGTGAATGCAAAGTAGGGATCGTATAAGAGAGATGTAAAGATAGAAACGCTATGTTTTAGCAGTGACCCGGATGTAGGGTGAGTGTGAGGGAGGCACCAGGGCCACACTGAAGTCGCAGACCTGAGTGGCTGCAAGGATGCTGGTGCCCTTGACATAAATAGGGCAGTTCAAAAGATGGAGGGTGAGTTTAAGGGAAAGAAAATCAGCTCTGTTGTCCATGTGTTGAGCCTGATATCCTGCAGACCGGGGCTTCTTAAGCTTTTTCCTCTTGAGACCCTTTCAGCACTTCTTAGATCCCCACAGTTTAAGAAATGCTGCTGCGTAGGCAATTCTGTGGATGGCTGGAGCTCAGGAGACAGAGTCGGGTTGGATAAAATTGCCAGATCTGGGGGTTTGCCATCATGGAGATGATGATTGAACCACTGGGAGCTGTGCTCGATATGATGATGGGGCAGACTAGACCATGAGTTAAGTGACTCGATTCCCATTTCTTAATTTTGCCACTGACAAGGTCATACATATAGACATGGCCCCCTGGGACTAATGAAGATGACCTTCTCCAGCCCACTTACCTACACTCCGGCAGTTATGGAGATGGAAGCAATGCATTTTGTAGTGATTTGAACACTATTAAAAGTGGCATCTGAGTGAAAGTCATTTGGTACCTCCGCTAGGTGGGCCCCAGAGAAGACGTGTACTGTGAGCTTCCCTGAGCCCCTCAGGGTGGGGGCAGCCAGGGGTCTAAAGGCCTTTGCCTCGTGACTGTGCAGTTCAGCTACCTCAGCCTCCCTTCCCCCTTGGCCCTCACAGCCCTTTCTCCCTTTGGTCTCCCTACCACTCCCCTTCTCCCTCCCTTCCCCAGGGGGAAAAAACCCCAACTAGGCCATATTTCTTTTTCTTTTTTTGAAAAACATGCTGTTGTCTGACTGGTATGTTATCCCTGCAGCTGGGTGCTTCTGGGGTCCTACTAGCGTAGTGTTTGCTTTGTTTTGTAGTTTTGCTTTTGCTAACCCTACCAGCCTCACTCCCTTATTGCCTCAAGGTACTCTCTTGGGAGCCTTTCCCATGGGGCCTCCTTTCTTGCTCCCCCTCTGCCTTTCCCCAGAAGTCTCTGTTTGTCCTCCAGTAGGTACTTAGAAGACTGGAAATCTCACATGTTTCTGTTGTTTCCCCCCTCCCCTCTTTCAAACATCTATTCTCCTTGTTTTATCTGGAGAGTGACTCTGTTCTCTGAAACAAAGCCAGTGGCTCAGCTTACTCTCTGCAGAGAGGATCCCGTTGGCTCCCCATCTCGTCCTTGCCATTTAGCATTCCTGGGGTGTCGTGGCTGGGGATGTTGCTGATGTCACTGCCTGCCTTATCAGGATTTTGCTCTTTGTTTCACAGGGAGCTGTGATTGGTATAGACGATGAGGACGACAGCACCTTCACAATAACTGTTGATCAGAAAACCTTCCATTTCCAGGGTGAGCTGAAAGACGAGATTCTTTCTTTTTATGGTTCCATCGGCAGGGATCTTCTCGGTGGGGGTGGTACTGGCCGGATGCCTTGAATGTTTCTGCCATAGATACTGCGTGAACGATGAGCACGGGGCGGGGGGAGCCTGCTGTCTGAGGAGGGGCTGCTGCTGCTGCAGGGTAGGCTGGCTTCTCTACGATGGTGGCGTACGTATGTATCAGAAAAGACTGTAGCTTTAAAGGCAGCAGTGTGTGATTAAAAATTTAAAGGATAAAATCAGTCAAGGGGGAGAATGATGGGCTGCTGTTGGCTTGCCTCTCTGGGCTGCCGCTGATACTGATCTCCTTTCTCCAGGAGAGGGATTGTGCTTCTGCAGGGCACGTCTGCGAGACTAAACGCTGCAGTTCGTGTACAGTCAAACTTGAGACGTGGTTGTGTTGGAGAGGGACGCCACGTCTGACTCCAAGGTGGTGAATTGCTTCAAGGACTACAAGCTTGCATTCATTTCATCTCCATTTCTGTGTCTTGTCCGCCAGCCGTCATTTCTCTGCTCCTATCCTTGTCCTCTTTCCTTACGCCAATGCCCTCTGCCCCTGCTATGTTCCGGCATTGCATGCTTTGGCTCACCGGTAGAAAGGGTAAGGTCCTGGATGATCATTCTCATTTCATGTTGCTTTGAGCATTGGGGATCAGCCTCCCCGCCCAGCTAGCTTCAGGCTTCTGTTGGAGTGGTGCTTTGCCTGTCAGAGTAGCATCTCTCCACTATTAACAAACCCAGGAGGAGCTTCACAGTCTGGAGGGGGGTGTTGTTTGGTTTAATGCATGATTTCTGAAAGAAGCAGGGTAATTAGTCCAGAGTCTTGTTTTTTAGTGTGAAAATATTGTGGTGATTGCCTAGGTGTAAGCGGTCCTAGTTGGTTCGGGTTGAATGGGAGTGTCCCAGTGTCCATTGTGTTCTGGAAAGTGAAAGCTGTATGTTCTCCGAAGGGCCCTTTCCCTGAGATCCTAGGCCAGGCATAGTCTTGGGTCAGGGATTATTTGAATAATAAGGCTATAATGTGCAGCAACAGTTATGTCTCTGCCAGTATTGGGCCCTATGTCCTCTACTTCTCATTTGTTCTCCTCCACCAAATCTTTTATGAAAGGCCTGATTCTTGATTTTTAAGAATATATGCTGTACACATGTGCTGAGCATTTCTCTACAAGAAGAAGACTTCAGTTGATTTAAGTTGGATACTTCCGTGGGCCTTGAGTGCAGGTGTGGATGCAGGTGAGGACTGTCTACTGCAGTGTGGAATCTGCTCCTCTGCGGTTGCTAAGGCAACACCCCTTCTGCAGCTCTCATCTGCTGTGTTGTGGGATTGTGTCAGGAGAACCAGACCTCTGGAGGAAAGGCCAGTCGCTGCACCTTTGGGTTCAGATAGAAGGCATTTCTCCTGCCCACCCCCCCTTTCCTCCTTGGCCCCATTCCACTGACTTCTGGGTGAAAGAACAGCTTCATGTGTGATGATGGCTGTAAGAATTGATAGGGGCTTAGAGATTTATCAGAGATTCACTTCATCAGAAGCCAGGTGTGGATGAATAGTTGAAGTTTTGTCCCTGATGATTGTAGGATTCAGGAGCAATATACTTAATTGTAGGCTGCGGAAGTATGCTGGCGGGCAGAATTTCTTTCTTATTAATGGCAGATGCTTTCTCATTAAGGATGATGCTTGCATCTAAGCAGAAATCTTTATATATTTGAGAAAAACAAAGTTGTGAGATGCCCAACACATTTTTCATTTTTTTGTGATATGTAATACAACCATCTGTAATATGGTTTTGGGTCAAAAGATCATAGCTGGAAGACCCTACAGAGGCCATATAGTACAACCCCCTGGCTTTAGAGATGGGGAAACTGGGGCCCAGGTCACACAGGTAATGCCAGGAGTGGCAGTCAAACCCAGGACCTCTGACTCCAGAGGTAGTACTCTTTCAGACCTTTTATTCCAGTTGTACTAAATTTGTGTGTAAATTAATGAACCTCATATTATTAAATGTCCTATCCTTGCCTTTTTGAACAAGACGCATTGTAGTGTAGTAGAAATTACCCTGGTCTTTGCGTGAAAAGACCTGAACTGGAGTTTTGACTTGGAGGCCTGTGATGGCTGTGGCCTTGAGTCTTTTCATCTCTCTGGGTCTCCCTTTGCTCACTTGTAACCCCACTTGTATATCCTACCATGCCAGGGCGGAAGTATCAGCAGGAAAAGAAAGGTGTTGGGTGTTTGGCCTAGAACCCTGAGCTGGGATTATTTAAAATCAAGCAAAAACTGCCAATTGGTAAATGTCAGGATCACAGTCAGGCTCCTGCCAAGTGCCCTGAGCAAGCTGGGCATTCTGGTGAGGCCCTTGGGCATCAGTTTTCCTCCTTCTCCTCTTGTGTCGTTACTGTCAGAGAGACGCTGTGAAGTGGTGCCCTGAGAGCCCCCCTCACCCCCGGGAGCCAAGAAGAGCCAGGCTCAGGTGCCATCTTTGATGCGCCCTGACTGGGTAACCGAGGCCGTTTCTCTCACACCCATGTATTTAGCTAAAACTTTGAGTTGTGTACAATTGCCAGTGGGCTATGGCAGAGGGAGTTGGCTCCCTCTGCTCATGAAATTACAGGTCCATACCAAAACATCCTGTCTACTCCTGTTAATAATTTATTAGTCACCACCAAATGTGTAGTGGAAACAGTGCTTGCTCTGTATGACCACGGGCAAGTCATTTCTTCCCTTCTGGCCTCCCATGTTCCCTTCCATAAATCAGGGAGCTGGAGTAGATGGATGGCCCCAAAGGTCTGACCTTCCCATTTGACCTTCTCTTTGTATGCATGATTGTCATACTCATGGAGAGTGACACAAAACATAGATTGTTCTGTAGAGAGGGAGAGCGTTGGTTCTGACAGGTAGAAGGAGCACTGGGCCTTTGACTTTTTAGAAGACCTGGACCTATGTCCCAGCTCTGCTCTTTACTGAGTGACCTTGAACAAGGCCCTCCCTGCCTGCTTGTAACTGCAGGTGCTCCATCCAGGTGGGCAGGAGTGCTTGCAAGACCTACTGACAAGGCGAATGCTTTGTGAGCCTTTGGTGCTAGATAAATGTCTGCTGTCTACGGATTTCCCTGAAAGACTCAACCTGGAATAACTATTCCCTGTGACGTGTAAGTGCTCGAAGCTTTCGGAGGCCTTGGATTCCCAGTCCTAGTTGTTAACTCTGCCACAACCTGAGGATCACGGAGACCTCGGGTCAGAGCAGGAAGGACTGTTAGAGGTGAGATCGTCTAGTGCAGCCTTCTCCTTTGACAGGGGAGTGATCCAAGTTCATAGAGGTGGAGTGCAGTGACTAAGCTAGTGTTGCACAGCTATCCGGAGAGGCTCAAGTGCAGTCACGTTAAATTCACTCTTACAGAATGGCAGAATCTCAGAGGTATCTAGCGTAACCCATCAAATCCGGCTGAAGAGTCCTTTCAAGACCCAGTATGTAGCAAGCAGCCATTCAGGTGTCGCTTGAAGGCCTCTCGTGCATGGGAACCCACTGCTCCGAAGGCAGCCCACCGCACTTTTGGGAAGCTTTTCTTTCCTCTCCTTCCCTTTTTCCTTCTCCGTGCATAGAATGGAGCCAAAACTTGCTCCCTGTACCAAGCAGAATAAGTCCAGTCCTTCTGCGGGCCAGTCCTTTAGATACTTGAAATGAATAGAAAAAATGCAAATGGGCGATAGGGTTAGTGAAGGCGAGGTCTGACTTCTTAAATAGTGGAAATCACTATTGTGACTCATCCTTTTTGGTGGGAAATGATGTCCTGTGTGTGGTAGGAACCTAATGATGTTTCTTGGATTCAGTGGGAGAAAGTGTCACAAGGACAATGGTGCAGCTGTTCTGTGGGTGCCCAGGTGAGCAGGGGCTGTAATGGGCAGAGCGAGATCCAGCTTCCTGAGATGGAGGCTGACAGCTGTATTCAGAGACATTCAGATGGGATGAATGAGTTCTTTTTAAAAAACAAAACATGTGGCTGTTTAATAACAAACACAGTCGTTTGTAATCTTCCTGACGCTATCTTAAGCATTCAGCATTTTATAGCTTTGTTAACTAGTTTAGAATCTTTTATTTTTAGTAATGACAATGGCAACTCACATTTATACAATATTTGCTTAATGTCACAAAGGGCAGACCCCTTTTTAAAAAAAAAATCTGTTCCTCACAACAGAGAGGCAGGGCAATTATTATTCCCATCTTACAGGGAAGGAGACTGAGACCCAGAGAAGGGAAATAATGTGCCTGGGGCCTCTTAGCTGGCAAATGGCAGAGTGAGAATTCAAACCCAGGGATTTTGACTCCCACGATCAGTGTTCATGCCATCCCATCAATCTTTTGAGAGTGTTTTCAGGAAACATACCACCCAGTAAGTCATGCATGGTTGTGTAATAGCAGAACCTTTAAACTCAGCATCTCAAAACATTTGGTTAGGAAGCAACCACTTTCAATCAGTGTGTTCTTGGGTTGAGTTTTAAAGGTGAGAATATGTTTAAGAACGGTCAATCAAGAAACTACTGTCACTATAATTGAAGGCACATTTTAAAGCTTTGGAATAATCCTGGGCCAGTACAAGCTCAAGCATTTTCTTGGAGAAGAAATGGCTGAGCATTAGCAGAAATAACCAAGTTGCCTTGCTTTGTTCTCCTGGCTTCTGAGTTGCTACCATTCTCAAGTTCATTTTCATTGATGTCTTTTTTAATTGGCCTCTTGCAACTGTGTAGTCCAAGCTTCATTTTTTTTGAATGACTTAAAAACATGTACACACACAGATACAAACCCATCTTGAAATCAGCACGAGGAAATAGAAATAAGTTTTGGAACTCCTTCCACAAATACGCCTGCCTTGAGCGGCTTATGTAAATGTCTTATCTAAATGGTGTGGTCTGTTAGGCCAAGGCTGGTCTTGGGTTTGAGTCCTGGCTTAGGCATTTCAGCAGTTGTAGGACTGGGATCCT